GATCGTCCCACCTCAGACTCCCAAAGTGCTGGAATTCCAGGCGTGAGCCACTACATCTGGCCCTGTATAGCTGTTTAAAGGAATATGGTAGATCCATGTGTACTGACATAGAAAGATGTCAAATATACAAGATTAGGTGAAAAAAGTATGTTTCAGAATAATGCATATGGTAAGATTCTATTTCATAAAACTGTAAGTTAATATATGTATAAAGGCTGGGAGCAGTGGCTCACGCCTGTAACCCCAGCACTTTGGGAGGCTGAGGCAGGTGGTTCACCTGAGGTCAGGAGTTTGAGACCAGCCTGGCCAACATGGAGAAACTCTGTCTCTACTAAAAATAAAAAATTAGGGCTGGGCGTGGTGGCTCACGCCTGTAATCCAAGCACTTTGGAGGCCAAGGTGGGCGGATCACCTGAGGTCGGGAGTTCAAGACCAGCCTGACCAACATGGTGAAACTCCATCTTTAAAAAAAAGAAAATTAGCCAAGTGTGGTGGCACGTATCTGTAGTCCCAGCTACTCAGGAGGCCGAAGCAGGAGAATCATTTGAATCTGGAAGGTGGAGGTTGAATGAGCTGAGATGGCACCACTACCCTCTAGCCTGAGCAACAGAGTGAGACTCTGTCTCAAAAAAAAATATGTGTGTGTGTGTGTGTGTGTGTATATATATATATGTATATATATATATATGTGTGTGTGTGTGTGTGTATATATATATATATGTATATATATATATATGTGTGTGTGTGTGTGTGTATATATATATATATGTATATAAAGAATCTACAAGACTATACCCCATAATTAATAGTAGTTAGCAGTGATGAATCAGGTTGGAAACATGGTCTTGGGACAAAAGAGCAGGGAGATGGCAGGGCAGGGCCATAGGTGTAGGTTGTTGGGAGGGCCTGGGCAAGAGGCAGAAAACAAAACCCAGTGGGGGAGGTCTGAGTTTGGTTTGGTCTTAGGTTTCTGTGCTATGCTTTTGCATTTCACCCAACCTTTGAGAACTATAGGAGTTTCATAGATAGGTTTCAGTTGTATACCCTTTCTTGAAAAATTAGAAGTAGAAAGCAACTATTTATTACTTTTAGGGTCTTTGGAATATTGTTTATTGATTTTCTGATTCCATCTTTCTTCCATAAAGGTAACCATGGAGAAAGACCTGCGGAGCACCATTCTTTTCAATGCCTACAAAAAGGAGATATTTACCACCAACAATGGCTATAAATCCATGCAGAAAAAACTTCGGAGTAATTGGAAGATTCAGAGGTGACTCACCATGTATATTATTTTCCCTTCTAAGTGATATTGCCCTGCTGATAAAGCTGAGAAGTCTTTGTTTTTTTATGTAACATAGATTGTTTAGGTGGGAGAAGCTCAATTTAAAGATTATTCAGAAATAGATTCTTATTAAAGCATCTCTTGGTCAAGGCACGGTGGCTCATGCTTGTAATCCCAGCACTTTGGGAGTCTGAGGCAGGCAGATCACCTGAGGTTAAGAGTTCGAAACCAGCCTGGCCAATATGGCAAAACCTCATCTCTACTGAAAATACAAAAATTAACCAGGTGTGATGGTACATGCCTATAATTCCCAGCTACTCAGGAGGCTGAGGCATGAGAATCACTTGAAACTAGGAAGTGAAGGCTGCAGTGAGCCGAGATCATGTGCACTCCAGTCTGGGCAACAGAGGAGACTCTGTCAAAAAAAAAAAAAAAAAAAAAAAAAAAAAAAAAAGTAAAGGAGAAAAAAAAAAAAAAAAAAAAAAAAAAAAGTCAGTATGGAACTCAGCAGGAGCTTACAGGCAGAGAGAATATATTAGAACTCAGAATAAGAGCCAGATATAGATAGGATTTATTATATAGGCAAAGTGGTACCGTATTTCAAATCAGTATTGAAAAGATAGATTGCAGTCGGGCAGCTTTTTAGTAATTTAGAAAATAATTAAACCAGCTGAGTGCGATGGCTCACACCTGTAATCCCAGGACTTTAGAAGGCTGAAGGGAGTGAATCACTTGAGGTCGGGAGTTACAGACCACCATGGCCAACATGGTGAAACCCTGTCTCTGCTATGGCACGCACCTGTAATCCCAGCTACTGGGAAGGCTGAGCCAGGAATTCTCCCGCTTGCACCTGGAAGGCGGAGGTTGCGGTGAGCCAAGATTGCCAGTGCACTCCAGCGTGGGTGACAGAGTGAGACTATGCCTTGAAAATTAAAAAAAAAAAAAAAAAAAGGATGGAAGGAAGGAAGGAAGGAAGGAAGGGAGGGAGGGAGGAAGCGAAAAAAAAAAAAAATGGAATGAAGCCCATTTTGAGCACCACAGTAATTTCCAAACGGACTAAAATTTAGATGTTAAAAAAAATTACAGCACAAATTAGCCGGGTGTGGTGGCCACTTGTCCCAGTCACTCAGGAGGCTGAGGCACGAGAATCTCTTGAACCTGAGAGGCCGAGGTTGTGGTGAGTCTAGATCTGTGTCACTGCACTCCAGCCTGGGCAACAGAGCAGACTCTGTCTCAACCAAAAAAATTACATCGCAAAGTGCTGAAAGTAAGCATTGTTGAATTTATTTATAATCTTAGAATAACAGAAACTCTTCTAAATGTGTCATGTAATCCAGAAGCCAGAAAGGAAAAGACAAATACTTTTAACTCCATTAACATTTTAAATCTATATGTCCTGCAAAATTCAACCAAACCAAAAAACTACCAGAAGCCAAATAAACTTATGAAAATGTTTGTTTAATGATCAATTAGAAAAATATAAAGCCCAACTGGGTGCGGTGGCTCATACTTGTACCAGCACTTTGGGAGGTTGAGGTAGGAGGATCACTTGAGGCCAGGAGTTCAAGACCAGCTTGGGCAACATAGTGAGACCCCATTTCTACAAAAAATTTAAAAATTAGCTGGATGGACATTGTGGTGCGTGCCTGTAGTCCCAGCTACTCAAGAGGCTGAGGTGGAATGATCTCTTGAGCCCAGGAGATCAAGGCTATAATGAGTTGTGATTATACCACTGCACTCCAACCTGGGTGACATAGTGGGACTCTTATCTCAAATGGTAATAAGAATAAATTTTTAGCCTGGCGCGGTGGCTCAAGCCTGTAATCCCAGCACTTTGGGAGGCCGAGGCGGGTGGATCACGAGGTCAAGAGATCGAGACCATCCTGGGCAACATGGTGAAACCCCGTCTCTACTAAAAATACAAAAAATTAGCTGGGCATGGTGGCGTGTGCCTGTAATCCCAGCTACTCAGGAGGCTGAGGCAGGAGAATTGCCTGAACCCNAAAAAAAAAAAGAAATAGCCATTATAGAAGAAATAATGGTGAAATGATTAGGAGGCTGGGCTCCGAAATCCTGGATTTGAATCCCCCTTCACCACTTATGTGTGGCCTTAGGTAGTTACTTCATCTCTCTTTTCATCATAAAGTTGTGATGATTAACTGAGATACTCCATGTAAAACACATTGTGTAGGCCAAATGCATAGTGTAGGTTAATTAAATATTAGCCACACTTTTTTGCCATATTTTTACTTTGAAAATAGGAAAATTCCATTTAAAATAAAGATGTTTACTATTCTAAGTCGTGGAATGGATAAAAAATGATAAATATAAGGCCCAGAATTCAAATGACAGTATTGGTAAGAATAGGAAGTTATTGGAACCCTTCCACACTGATGGTAGGAATATAAAATGTACAGTCACCATGAAAAACAGTCTGGCAGTTCCTCAAAACTTAACCCCAAAATTGCCATATGATGGCCGGGTGCAGTGGCTCATGACTGTAATCCCGGCACTTTGGGAGACTGAGAAGGGCAGATCACTTGAGGTCAGGAGTTTGAGACCAGCCTGGCCAACACGGCAAAACCCCGTCTCTACTAAAAATACAAAAATCAGCCAGGCGTGGTGGTGTGTGCCTGTAATCCCAGCTACTCGGGAGGCTGAGGCAGGAGATTTGCTTGAACTTGGGAAGCAGAGTTTGCAGTGAGCAGAAATTGGGCCACTGCACTCCAGTCTGGATGACAGAGCTAAACTCTGTCTCAAAAAAAAAAAAATAACAAACCTGCCATATGCTCTAGCAGTTCCACTTCTGGGTATGTGCCCAAAAGAATGGAAAATAGGATCTCAAACAGATAGTTGCACACTCGTCTTCTAAGCAGCACTCCTCACATTAGCTAAAAGGTGGAAATAGCCCAAGTATCCATCGACAGATGAATAGAGAAGATATGGTACATACATGCGATGGAATATTATTTAGTCTTAAATAGGAAAGTAATTCTGATACATACTACAACATGGATCAACCTTGAGGACATTATGCCAAATGAAAATAAGGCAGACAAAATGACAAATACTGTGTGGTGTCAGTTATGCAAGCATGAGGTATATAGAGTAGTCGAATTCATGGAGACAGAAAATAGAATGGTGGTAGTTGCCAGGGCCTGGGGGAATCGGGGAATGGAGAATTGCTGTTTAATATGTACAGAGTTTCAAGTTTTGCAAGATGAAAAGAGTTCTGGAGATTGGTTGCCCAACAGTGTGAGTATATTTAATATTGCTGAACTAGGCCAGGCGTGGTGGCTCACACCTATAATCCCAGCACTTTGGGAGGTGGAGGCGGGTAGATCACTTGAGGCCAGGAGTTCGAGACCAGCCTGGCCAACATGGTAAAACCCTCTCTCTACTAAAAATACAAAAATTAGCTGGGCACAGTGGCACATGCCTGTACTCCCAGGTACTTGGGTGGTTGAGGCAGGAGAATTGCTTGAACCCAAGAGGCAGAGGTTGCAGTGAGCTGAGATCGCACCACTGCACTGCAGCCTGGGCAACAGAGTGAGACCCTGTCTAAAAAAAAAAAAAAATACTGCTGAACTAAATACTTCAGAATGGTTAAGATGGTAAATTTAGGAAAGATTGTGTGTGTTTTTTCACAGTCAATAAAACAAAAAACCCAGAACACAGAAAGAGCCATTTTACGGAGACATGAGAAGTACCTTTGTGCTCAGAGAGAATATGGGGAGTAGGGAGTTTGAGGCAGGGCAAGGCCAATGTGGTCCTTAGATTGAGGCAGGCCAAGGTCTCCTGCTGTTACTCTGGGTGGTGTCATGGGGAAGAGGTCCACTGCAGAGCAATTCTAGTGTCCTTTGTTTCTCAATTTGATTGCAAGGTGACCTCTGCTGGGAATGGCATGGAGAGAGAGATGATTCCTTGATCAGGTTAATTGGCAGAATGAGTAGGAATTACTCTTGGGAATGTGGAGGTGACCAGCGACTCCTACCCACTGAGACCCTGAGGGAAATGTACACACCGATGGCAGTGGCCTGCATAGCAACAATTTATTACTTGTTGGGCTTTGGCTCCATGTCCCTATCTACCTGGTGAAGCCAAAGAGAGAGTTGACCTGGTGTTTGCCAGGGACCAACCAGCCTCAGAAACGGAGGGGCATCCGGAGAGAAGGTCAGAACCTGGTGACTGGGCCTTTTTCCAAGTGGAGATGGGTGCCAGCCCAAGCCTTAGTTTGGGCTTCCAGGGATGGAAGGCTGTTACATCCAAGAGACACGAGTCCTTCAAGAGGCAAGTGTGATGTAATTTAGCCTAATAAAACCTCCCAGACCAGTCCCTGACACCACGCCTTCTCTTTAGAGTTGGAGTGGGGTGGGAAGAAAAGCCTTTGGCTTTTTTTCTAGGAACCAGCATTCCCTTGTGTTCCTGTTCTTCCAATGGGCTCATCCTGGTGAGATCACTGCTTTTGTCATCGCTGCTGGCCTCCTAGACTGTTAACCCTGGAAAGCTGTGTGATGCCTTTTTCTTTTTTTTTTTGAGATAGAGTTTCACTCTTGTTGCCCAGGCTGAAGTGCAATGGCGTGATCTCGGCTCACTGCAACCTGTGCCTCCTGGGTGCAAGTGATTCTCCTGCCTCAGCCTCCTGAGTAGCTGGGACTACAGGCATGTGCCACCAGACACGACTAGGTGCCTTTTTCATGTTGGCTTCCAGAAGCTTCTGTGATAGGACAGACATCATATGTCTGATAGTAGATGCTAGTATCAGGCTAGAAACTAGGCTGAAAAGTCTCCCCCTATTTCCACCTCAACTACATTAACTCATCACACTAGCATGTGGTGGTATTCAGTTACCACCAGGTAACCACGTAGCTGAGATGAGTATTTTCCAACCCTGACAGACCAGCGTCCACCTGTATTACAGATTCCACCTTTATTACCCTGAATTGAAATGCTAAGATAATCTAACCCACCACCATTTTTTAAAAAGGCAACATAACATCCTAACTTTAATATTCAGAAATTAAAGGATGATTTATAAAAGAATACATGTATTTTAAACCTAATGTTTAGGCATATATACACTAGAAGAATATATGTATTTAAGTTTGTTAATACTTGGGCATACATGCATTAGAACACTTCTTTATGTTTGGCATTTTGAAATAAATGTTTAATAAATATATAGAACTCCCATGAATGGGTTAGATACAGATGCAGACTGGTGGAAGTGATGAATTGGCAATTCAAATTATGAGCTGTGTTGCTGTCAGTGATGTGATTTTTCCAAAATACTAACTCTTGGTAAAGTTCTATTAATAAAAAGAGTGTAATTCTTTTCTCAGTTTACATGGTAGTTGGGTATCTGCAAATTCAGTATATTAAATCGTGCAAAAAATACTTTATAAAATTTATATATAATTTAGGCTGAGTGTGGTAGCTCACGCCTGTAATCCCAGCAGCTTGGGAGGCCAAGGCAGACGGATCACCTGAGGTCAGGAGTTTGAGACCAGCCTGGCCAACATGGTGAAACTCTGTCTCTGCTAAAAATACGAAAATTAGCCGGAGGTGGTGGCAGGCGCCTGTAGTCACAGCTACTCAGGAGTCTGAGGCAAGAGAATCGCTTGAACCTGGGGAGTGAAGGTTTCAGAGAGCTGAGAGTGAGCCATTGCAGCCTGGGTGACAGAGCGAGACTTCATCTCAAAAAAAAATAAATCAATCAATTTAGTTAGATTCTAGGCTAAGTTTCTTTTGTTTGCTTGCTTTTCTTTTTTAAACATACGTGACTGAGAAGATACTCAAATGTTGTGGAACAGTTCTTTACTATGTTGGACTGGTCTGAACATTGCAGGCCTTAACTTCCCTGCCCTTTACCCACTAAAATGTCCTTAAGCATTAACATTATGGCATTAATATTTTACCATATTAATATTATGGTAATCCAAAATACATGCTAGATAGTTTAATTCCCGACACTGAGAGCCACTGGCCTGGACCATCCAGTATCAGTTACATGAAATAGCTCACATTTGCTGCCACATTGTAAAACTTAACAGTGTGAATGTATTCAAAGCCAATTTCTAAAATTTAAGTCTACAAATTTAATCTTTCTTCTTGTTTTTGCCATCAAGAAGTAAGAAACCTCCAATTTGTACCAAATATCTATTCTTTGGTTAGATGGGTCTCACATGCATAGGTGGAACCTGGGTCATAATTTGTGGAAGCCCCTTTAACCTTTGCCCAACTGTGTTACTGGACACCACATCCTTCATGTATCTTTTTCTTAAAATGCCAGATGGCCAATAGGACACAGTAGATATCAATACCTATTGTATATTCATTGCATTTAGACAACAAGGACAAATCCCAGAACCACATAATCATAAATACCGAGTCCCAGTAGAATTTCCCAAGCAAAAGCTATGTTCTGAGAATAGATGTTGCAAACTAGACCTGGCTTTCTATTAGCAGTCATAGAACATAGCATATATTTAGGGCTGTCTGGGAAGAGGAGTTCGAGAGGAAATCAAAAGGAAGATGGGATTTAGGGAGAGATTCAGCCTGTTGTTCAGGGTCCAGGATCCGTGCAGTTATATTTCATTTGTTTTTCTGTTGTTCCAAAAAATATTTATTAAGGATCTGTTATGTACCTAGTTGTGTGCCAAGTCCTAGGACTAATGCTAGGGATCAAAGTCAAATAGCATATAGTCTTCCCTCTCAAGGAACTGATATTCTAGGGGAAATCAAACAAATGGACCATTTATCAATAATGATCAATGTTCTAAGTTCCACATTTCTACAGAAGCACAGAAAAGAGGCATTGGATTAAAGGGCCCAGAGGAAATGGCCTTTGAGCTAATTTTTTTTTTTTTTTTTTAATGTTTTTTTTGAGACAGAATCTTGCTCTGTCACCCAGGCTGGAGTACACTGGCACAGTCTCGGCTCACTGCAACCTCCACCTCCCAGGTTCAACTGATTCTTCTGCCGCAGCCTCCCGAGTAGCTGGGATTACAGGCATCTTCCACTACCTCCAGCTATTTTTTGTATTTTTAGTAGAGATGAGGTTTCACCTTGTTGGCCACGCTGGTCTTTAGGTCCTGACCTCAAGTGATCCACCCACTTTAGCCTCCCAAAGTGTTGGGATTACAGGAGTAAGCCACTGCACCCCGCCTTAATTTTGATTTTGAAATAATTGATTCATTTTTGTTTTGTTTTGTTTGTTTTATTTTGCTTTGTTTTTGGGATGGAATCTTGCTCTGTCACCCAGGCTGGTATGCAGTGGTGCTATCTCGGCTTGCTGCAACCTTTGCCTCCTGGATTTAAGCAATTCTCCTGCCTCAGTCTCCCGAGTAGCTCAGACCATAGGCATGCACCACCACGCCTGGCTAATTTTTGTATTTTTAGTAGAGACAAGGTTTCAGCACGTTGGCCAGGCTGGTCTCAAATTCCTAACCTCAGGTGATCTGCCCCCTTTGGCCTCGGAAGATTCATTTGTTTTCTACAATGTGGGGAAGGCAGGAGGAGAGGAAAATTCAGGGCGCATGCAAGAGCAAGAGGGCTATGCTGTGGCAAAGCTAGTATGGGTAGTAGTTTCCAAAGGAGGATACATGTGATGAATCAATGGGGTACCAGAAAGAAATTACGTTTATTATTCATATATATATATTTTTTTGTTCTGAGACAGAGTTTTTGCTCTTGTTGCCCAGGTTGGAGTGCAGTGGTGTGATCTTGGCTCACTGCAACCTCTACCTCCCGGGTTCGAGCGATTCTCCTGCCTCAGCCTCCCAAGTAGCTGGCACTACAGGTGTGCACCACTAAGCCCAGCTAATTTTTGTATTTTTTTTTAAGTAGAGATGGGGTTTCACCGTGTTGGCCAGGTTGGTCTTGATCTGTTGACCTTGTGATCCACCCTCCTTGGCCTCCCAAAGTGCTGGGATTACGGGCATGAGCCACTGCACCTGACCCTATTCATTTTTTTGTTACCTTTAAAACATTTCCTTTTTGGGAGTTGTTTTAAATTATAATATAAGGTACATATTTTATATAGAGATACATATATATTGGATGTATGTATAAACATGTTCATATTTTTTTCTGCTGGAGTACTTGATGAAAAAAGTTGAGAAACTATTTGTCTCGACCACCCACCACAGATTTTCTCAGGCTAGACCAGCAAGATGAACCCTAGATTTTTCTCCCATCCCCAGCTCTGTGAAAACGAGAGAGCTTCCAGGAGATAAGAAGAAAACATGCATTTCTCTTTATGGCTTGGTCATTGACCTTGAACAGAATTCCTCCAAGGTGTTGTATGAAATGCCTTCATCCTGATATCATCTGTGGGCAGTCAAGCGAAGGCATTGTCTAAATCAGTGGTTCTTAACCAGGGGTGATTTTGTTTCTTCTTCTCCTGAGGGAACATATGGCAATCTCAAGAGACATTTTTGGTTGTCAGGGGAAAATAGGTACAGCTGGCATCTGGTAGAGTGAAGACCAGGGGTGCTGCCGAATGGAGAACTGTGAGCTTCCTTCAGTAAAGTTTTTCACTTTTTGTCTAGATAGCTTTGAAACTGTTATTTAGTTTGAGAATTTTGGAGCTTTATGCTCAGAGACAAGCTTGGAGATCATACATAGAGAGCACATTTTGGCTGGGCGCAGTGGCTCATGACTGTAATCCCAGCACTTTGGGAGGCCGAGGCAGGTGGATCACAAGATCAAGAGATCGAGACTATCCTGGCCAAGATGGTAAAACCCTGTCTCTACTAAAAATACAAAAATTAACTGGGTGTGGTGGCATGCATCTGTACAGTCTCAGCTACTTGGGAAGCTGAGGCAGGAGAATCGCTTGAGCCTGAGAGGCGGAGGTTGCAGTGAGCCAAGATCACCCAAGCCTGGGTGACAGAGCTAGACTCTGTCTCAAAAAAAAAAAAAAAGTACATTTTCTCTTGTATGTATTTATATGTAAATGCCTTATAGATTTGAGGTATTCATTTTTCATCTAGTTAAGGTCTTATTCATGGTATGTTGGGCAAAAGTCTTTTGAGCATATTCACGGATTGCTTTTTTCCTTTGTGTAGTTTGAAATCCTGAAGAAATACCTTGACAGCGGTGGAGATATCCTTGTGATGCTAGGAGAAGGTGGAGAATCCAGATTTGACACCAATATTAACTTTTTACTAGAAGAATATGGAATCATGGTTAATAATGGTAACTTATTATTTTCAGTAGACACAGTAATTTTCTATTTATTATCTGATATCATAGCCCTCTAGGTCCAGTGGCATAATGGAAAAAGCACTGGGCTGAGTGTGCATGTTTTTTTTTTTGAAACGGAGTTTTGCTCTTGTTACCCAGGCTGGAGTGCAGTGGCGCGATCTCAGCTCACCGCAACCTCTGCCTCCTGGGTTCAGGCAATTCTGCTGCCCCAGCCTCCTGAGTAGCTGGGATTACAGGCACGCACCACCATGCCCAGCTAATTTTCTGTATTTTTAGTAGAGACGGGGTTTCACCATGTTGACCAGGATGGTCTCGATCTCTTGACCTCGTGATCCACCTGCCTCAGCCTCCGAAAGTGCTGGGATTACAAGCATGAGCCACCGCGCCCTGCCCGAGTGTGCAAGTTTTAATGTTCCATTCTCATCTGCATTCTGAGCCTCCTGGGCTTGGGCTACTTCCATTTATAAAGTGAGGTGAATTGGAACTGAGTTCCAGGGTGCCTTTCGGGTCACAATCGGTATGAGTCTATAATATCAAACTTATTTCTAACCCAAAATATGCCTCCTTCTCTTTTTCCCTCGTAGATGCTGTGGTTAGAACTGTATATCATAAATATTTCCATCCCAAAGAAGCTCTAGTTTCCAGTGGAGTCTTGAACAGGTAAGCATGTTGAAAGCAGAAATACCTTGGCCAGGCACAGTGCTCATGCCTGTAATCCCAGCACTTTGGAAGGCCATGGCGTGTGGATCATTTGAGGTCAGGAGTTCGAAACAAGCTTGGCCAACATGGTGAAACCTTGTCTCTACTGAAAATACAAAAACTCAGCTGGGTGTGGTGGCATGCACCTGTACTCTCAGCTACTCAGGAGGCTGAGGCAGGAGAATCGAGTGGAGGCTGCAGTAAGCCAAAATTGCACCATTGCACTCCAGCCTGGGTGACAGAACAAGACTTCATCTTAAAAAAAAAAAAAAAAAAGAAAGCAGAAATATCTTTACACATAATTCATTTCTTTTACGTGAATCTTCCCTCATCTCTTCTCACACAGTTCTTTTCACTATCTGTTCTTTTCTTGCCTTTTTATGTTATTATAATTTATTTTACTATATTACTACTTCTCATTCATCAAATTATATTTCTCCATCTTTTGAAACTTACTTCACATACACCTTATTTTTTATTTTGTTTTTGAGGCAGAGTCTTGCTCTGTTGCTCAGGCTGGAATACAGTGGTGGGAACACAGCTCACTGCAGCCTTGACCTCCTAGGCTTAAGTGATCCTCCCACCTTAGTCTCCCAAGTAGCTGGGGCTATAGGCATGCACTACCATGCCTGGCTAATTTTTTAAAATTTCTGTAGAAATGGGGCCTCACCATGTTGCCCAGGCTGGTCTTGAACTCCTGGCCTCAAGTGATCCTCCCACCTTGGCCTCCCAAAGTGCTAGGATTACAGGCTTAGCCGTAATGCCTCGCCCACATTTACCTTTTTGTCATTTAGGATACTTCCAGTTGCAAGTGACAGAAAACCCTATTCAGATGGGGTTAAACAATAAAGAGACTAAACAATAAATAGTTTTTTGATAAAGAGATTAAACAGTAAATTCATGTAATCAGAAAGCCCAGAAATAGTGCAGGCGTTAAATATGGATTAACTGAAAGATTCCTGTCATCAGGAATCCAGTTCTATTTCTCTGCAGTTCTCTTGGCTCTGCTCTCCTGTATGTGTGAGCTGAATAATTTTAACAGTTCCCATATTTATATCTGCATGCCATACCATCTGAAACAAGAGAGTATGCCTTGGTCCCAGCATTCCCAGGAAGAGTAGTCCTGGTTGGGTGTGGTGGCTCACACCTGTAATCCCAGCACTTTGGGAGACCTAGGCAGGCAGGTAACATGATGTCAGGAGTTTGAGACCAGCCTGGCCAATATGGCGAAACCCCATCTCCACTGAAAATACAAAAATTAGCCAGGTGTGGTGGTGTGAGACTGTAGTCCCATCTCCTCTGGAGGCTGAGTTGGGAGAATCACTTGAACCCAAGTGATGCAGAAGTTGCAGTGAGCTAAGATCATGCCACTACACTCCAGCCTCGCCAACAGAGTGAGACCCTGTCTCAAAAAATATAAATAAAAATAAATAAATAAAATTTTTAAAAGGCCAGGCGCACTGGCTCATGCCTGTAATCCTAGCACTTTGGGAGGCCAAGGTGGATGGATAACCTGAGGTCTGGAGTTTGATACCAGTGTGACCAACATGGGGGAACCCTGTCTCTACTAAAAAATGCAAAATTAGCTGGGCGTGGTGGCACATGCCTGAAATCCCAGCTACTTGGGAGACTGAGGCAGGAGAATCACTTGAACCCTGGAGGCGCAGGTTGTGGTAAGCCGAGATCACGCCATTGCACTCCAGCCTGGGCAACAAGAGCAAACTCTGTCTAAAAAAAGGAAAAAAAAAGTAGTCCTGAGATTTGCTCTGTTTAAGCTGGCCTAAGCTACAGTGTGTATCCCAAAGTGGCCTGATGGCATAGCTAGGTCATTCATCCCCTGCAGCCTGTGGTGGAGTCACCTTTCTCTTATCTGGATCCTAAAACATAAATCGGGTTCTTAGGAAGTCGGAAATAAATGCATGAGGGGGGTAGCATCAGATGCCTTCTGGAGCTTTCCTATGTTTAAAATTATTCGGCCGGGCACGGTGGCTCACGCCTGTAATCCCAGCACTTTGGGAGGCCGAGGCGGGTGGATCA